CAGAGTGCACTGATATCACTTTAAAAACCATAACTACATGAAAAATGGCATGACTTTACATAAACCTTTAGAATCAAACTACAAGGTGACATTTTCAAATTAGTTCTCAACTCTAGGCTTTATATATAAAAAAAAATAACACAATTAAAAGTTCTGATACCTGCATTAAAAAAGAAGTTGTGTAAAACAGCGTTATTACACATGTATACAAATTTGTACATGTTTCATTATGTACACATTTTTGCAATTGAGCGTCTTGGGAGAAAATATGGAACATTCAAACAAAATGAAGCAATGTAATAACTCCTATTCATAAAAGACCCCACCCCACACTACTGATTATTGCGATTAGTTGCCAATGCACCCCTGAAGAATGTAAAATTCTATTCAAATTCCAAACTACTAAATTTGAACACTTTTTTTGATTTAAAAAAAAAAAATGTTTTCTCTATCCATGTGAAAGTAAAAGGTTTCTGAGGTGGAACTCGTCAACAGCGTAAAGGGGAGATCAGATCGGAGAGCTACAGCAGCCTCTGTTCTGCTTTTTCTACAAACACCTGATTCATTGGAATTCCAAGCAAGGAAACCATTGCTGGTCCTCAACCAGAGCAAGAAAATAGGCTTTCCACTTTCTTGCAAGTGGGATAGCTCTTTGAGTACTAAGTCTGATTCCATCTAAATTCAATTTCAGATGGAATCTGTTGTGTTCAAGCACCCACAGACATTTTATACTTCTCAGGCAAAAGTGAAATTATATCACTGGAATTGTAACCCAAACCCAATCATGACCATGGTCATCTCACTCACTTTAGGCCAAAGGCCCAACATGATCCTTACACGTCTTGCTAGTTTCCACAATAACTGAATTAAGCCAAAACATCCAGGTGTTCGGACTAAAGCAAAGCAAGATTGTGATTAGTGGGGTTGAATACGTAACTATAAACCCAGAAAGATATAACAAGCCCGTGGGTCTTCTATCACACCAGAGTGAGTCCATAACAAACCAGATTTAAAAAAAAAAAAAATACCAACATAATAGCAATAACCAGTGCTTCCAAACCTCACATTTGCTGGATAAAAAAGAAAAGATCGGGAAAAAAAATAGATTTTTTTTTTCACTTAAATGTCACTTTTTTTTTTTTTTACATATTCTAAAATGTTTCTTAAAACAACCCTGCCACTGCTTTTTATTATTAAAAGTACCAAAATGGGATTAAGTGAGCACAGCTTACAATATCTCAAAAGCAATGTACAAGTTGTTTTGTATGTCTTATATACACAAAGATTGTGCGCTATTCTGACAGGCAGAAATCATAGGCTTTAACTGCGTTCAGTCTCAGTCTTTGGCACACTAATCTGAATTATTGATTGGTACTAGAATCAAGGTCTGAAAAATTAGACATAAATGAAATGTTTTCCAATGTGGATATATAAGTATATATAATTATATACCGGTATATGTATATATAGAATATTTCACTGCCTATGTAAAAGATAATGTACAAAGCCTGGGATTACAATTCGGTATTTTTCCCCAACAGAGGTTAACATTTGGTAACTTGTTTGTCCTTGCTGTTATTTCCCAGCTAGCTACCAAAGCCAAAGTTCCCAAACAGATGCCATTTTTGCATTTAGTATAATGTACCCACTTGTGTCAGACATTATCTAATGTGAAAGGCTTTCTTAGTCTTATGCAAAAAAATGCATTTCAAAGATTCTTTTTTCCTGCACCAATTTTTCGACTTGGTTAATCGGAGGACTACATATACTGAAATGCTTAAACCTAATCCATAGGCAATAAACATCAAACATTTAAAACACTACCCCCATGAAAGTAATCTGCCCTTCCCCTGGAAGGGTTTCCAATTCTTTATAGCAGCACAAAAGTAGAAGTACTTAAGTAAAGCTGCCTTAGGGTACATTTTTACCAGCCTATTAAATTGGCTTTAGCTTTTTCTGTCAGTTTCCGTACCCTTCCTCTGCTTGAGGTTCCAAATGTCAAAGAAGTGTCTTCAAACAGCAGTTGTCTCTGTTCCTCCTCAGAATCATCTTCATTATAAAATGCAGTTCTCCTGCCCTGATTTCTAGTTCTCATCTGGGATTCAGATTGTTCGAGATCCTCAGCTGTCTCTCTGGATACATCCATAGGTTCCTCCATCTTTTTACATTTACTTCTTGTTTGTATTTTGACATTTCCCTGTTTGGCATTTTCTGGCTCTGTCTGTTTTGATGACGACTGTGGGGGTGGAGGAGGTGGGGGAGAAGGAGGAGCAACCTTCTCCGGAGTCTCAATTCTTATTTTTGGTTTTCTACCCCTCCGTTTTTTTGGTACCTCATTCTCATTCTTATCGTTCATCTCAGAATGAGAGTTACAACTCGAAGTTGGCTGCTCTTTTTCTTTTTTAACTGGGGAAACCGGTGGAGATGTGATTTGGGGTACGATTTGCTGCTGATCATCATTCCTGGGATATTTTGGCTTCCTCCCTCTTTTCTTGGGAACCACTTGAGCATTTTTATTTGGGTCACTGTTGCTAGTGGTGTTGTTGAGAACTATCTTGGGTTTGCGACCAGGGGGGCGACCCCTCATGCCTGGCTTCTTGACCTGGCTGCTGTGCCCATTAACTTGCACACGTACTGGCAATATATCATCTTGTCTTTCAACTGCAAAACAGTATAAAATATTAAAGGGTTCTGCATTTTTGAAAATCAGTAAACAAACATGTCAGTGAAAGTACCAGCTACTATTTCAGTTAGTAAAACCTGCTACGCCTCTTCGCTCCAGATAACCTAATTAGATACTGTAAAATTATGCAGTAGTTGTCTACAATCCTCAATGATGAGGGGATTCAAGTTCAGCCAGTCTGTCATCCACTCAAGTTGTCATGCGATACTACTACATATTTTGTAATAAAAGGTGATTTTATCTACTGCCCTAGGTCTAAATGAAAGCTGTCATATGCTAGCCTGTTTTCTCCCAAAGGTGTTGCGTCTTCTGGGCCACCAAAGTTGACTTCATCAGCAGAATGACAAAATCAGGGGACCCCATCTGACTGTAGTTTCAGAACTAAAAACAGGATTTTTGTCTTTGCTGTAAAATCTGTTTCTTGAAGATAATTGTCACCAAAAGTGAAACACTCAATAAAACAGGAAACTAGAACAGAGACGAACCACAGCGGCTTAAACATTCACCAGGTAGAACAAGAGTGTGAACTGAGGAACAGGTGGCAGCCTTACAGATTTGGGATACCAAAGCCTGATGCTGAAAAGCGCATGAAGCACTAGCGCTTCTAGTAGAATGTGCCTTCACCAGAAAGGAGAGGACTTTCCTCTTTAGTGCATAAGCCTGGGTAATAGTCCAATGAACCCACCTAGCAAAGGTGAAACGAAAGGCTAATTGTTCCACTCAGGGACCTTTAGGAATAATGAACAGAGAATCCGACTTGCTAATGGAAGGTAAACTCTTTAACAGACTGAACCTTGTCCAGGTAGTGCAGCAAAATTTATTTTGGATGTTTTGGTTCAGGACATAAAAGTAAAACAAATGTTCTGGTTAAGGTGGTAGGGTGAAACCATCTTAAAGAGGGAGTCTTTTGGTTTGTACATGCCTAGCAGAAGAGATGGCAACAAAAAAACAGAGTATGCAGGGGTAAAGGGATAGCTATAATTGATTTAAAAAGTGGCTTCTTAAGAGACCACAACACAAGGTTAGGTCCAACGGAGTCCCCAGGAGCAACACCATGATCAAACATCTTAACCAGAAAGTGAGAAGCAATAGGCCGCTGAAAGAATTGCCAAGGCAGAAATATGACCCTTGATGGTACTCAAGGCCAAATGCTGGTCCAGACCAGACTGGAGGAAGGGCAAAATGCACCTCATTCAGTACTTCCAAGGGTGTAAGATTTCCAGATGCACAGGTAAACTTTACAAGAGGTAGATTTCCTAGCCTTCAGAAGCATAGCAATGACTGATTAAAGTCAGCGACTGAGAAGCAGGGTGGAATACCAGCCCCAGGACAGGAAGTCGGGCCAATGCAGAAGTGCCCACGAAGAGTCTGCCAGGAGGTTTACTATGTCCACATGCCACAATCTCCTGGTTTAGTTGGGAGCAGTGAGGACCAGCAGAACGCCCTCCACCTCTATCCTGCAAAGACGGCAAGGTAACAGATTTAATAGAGGAAAAGCATAGTTCAGGCTGATCTGATTTCACACAGAGTAACCAAGGTATCCACTGTTTAGGATCAGTGATCTCTGGCCCTGGTGACAAACCTGTGCAGTTTAATCTTGAATCTGGACACCAAGAGATCCACGTCTGGCACCCCCCATCCACGCCATGAATTTTGGATGGCGGACAGGGCCAGAACATGTAAGAGACCATGTAACAGCGTTGAAGAGACAACTGAATTACCCTGAGCTTCAAGATGTTGATTGGAAGCTGAGATTCCTCTGATGACCAGGTTCTTTGAGCTGAGAGGCATCACAGGACACCACCCCAGCCCGACAGACTGGCATCTGTCTGGCATCTGTCATAAGCACTAACCATCGCCAGGAACGACTTTCCAGACTCCAGACTTAAGCATAAGCTCCTCTTGTCTTCAGGAACAGGTCCCCACCAGAGTGGACCCCGGCCCTGGACCTGTAGAGGACCCTGCGGCCTGGAAGAGTGTCTCATGCAGGGTCCGAAGCCAGAGGCAAAACTACAGGCCAGCCCCCCTCTTCTACTCCTCTAACATGAAGGGTCTGGATACAGTCTGCCAAGGTTCTGTTGAGGATATAACCAATCCAGAAAGCTGGAATTCTGAAGTGGCTGTGAACAGTTAATTGGAGAAACTTGATAGAAGAATCTTGCAGAAAAGTAGAACACAGGAGTATTTCTCATAGGGCTGGTTCACACCACAAATTCTGCATTCCAGAGCATTCGGCCTCCGGAATGCACTGGAACGCAAGCCGGCCGGCTCCCTGCGTTCAGAGGCGGGAGGGGGTGTGGCGGTGTTTTCGAAGTCAATAGTACCGCAGCCATGAACAGTGCGGTCGCCCATATCCAGAATGCAGGCACATTCGTGCCTGCATTCCGGTCCAGTGCAATCTGCAAAAATGCTGCAAGCACTATTCTTGCAGATTGCACTGGACTGGAATGCAGGCACTAATGTGCCATGTGTTCGGGTGCGGCCGATCACACTGCGGGCAGGGGGCGTGGCCCTTAGAGCTGAAAGAGCATCCATCACCCAAGAACACTGGCAAAAGCCAGAGGCAGGCTGGAAGTGGGAGCAGTTACACAGGGTTGTCCGGCAGCTTTCATTAATTTGCCAGTATCCAGTCACTTGCCGGTAGCAGTATAACGCAGTGGTTAAGAATTTAACTGATGTCGCAAATCAAGAAAATAATTTTTCCACTTATTAAATCTAAACCCTTCTTTAAATAGTTAAAGACATCAAGACATGTACATCAAAAGCTACCTTGCGGTTGACTGGTCATCCTTTTCATCTTGCGTTTCAGAGGCTTCTCCTTTTCCACATTTTCTTTTGGCACATTGTTCTTTCTAAGCTGGATGGCAGTCACTGGCTGGCTTGTACTATTTGCAACAGTCTGATTTCTTAGATGTTTAACTGAGTTTTCAGCTATTGCTAAAAAAAATTAAAAAACAACAAAAACAAACAAACATACTGGTTACCACGCAGATTACATCATTCTGAAATATGCTTTACATAAATGCAAACAAATGTACAGCACCATATAATAAAATCACAGCTGGGAGTTAATTCTGTTTGCATATATTATTTTTAGAATGTTTATTAGAAGTAAATGCTTGTCATTATTTTTATTAAGAACGGCAAAAAGCTCCTAAAGACAATTCACTTTATTTATATTTGTAACCAGACTTAAGAAACATGGTGTTGCACAGAATGTCCTACCTTTTAGGACACTGAGCTAAAACTGAACTCTTTCCATGCAGAGAGGTATTGTCCACTAGAGGACAAGCAATGTCTTTTTGCCTAGATGCTATTCTTTTAGGAGCAGGAATTTAGATTTCACTTTGTAGTCAAACTAGCAACATACCCGATTTCCCTGGAGCTGCAGAATTATTCAGTCTTGTTGTCATGAGTTTAGGTGAAGATGTGGATGGTTGATCAGCAGAAATGGGCTCTATATGACGCCTATAACTCCTTGTGCGTGCCAAGGGACCTGAATCTGTTCCCTTGCCATTTGTTTGAGCAGTCGGCACCTTCTGAACCGCTGATCGCGGGGTGGGTGATCCCAAAGGCGTCGCTGTGTTCTCCTGCTTTGGTTGATGCTTCACATATTTTCTTTTCCTTTCAGGACTTCAATAGAGGAAACATTATATTTTCAAAACAAGGGAAAATGTAAAAAAGATTGCCACATAATGCCTTTACGGCACATTTTCTTTGTTTTGCTTAAAATGCATGTAATGATACCAGCACTATGTAATATACTAGTACATTGATATTTTGATTACTACAAATGTATGCCAAATTACCTAGATGCTGCACTGCTGCTAGAAGAGCTGCTCCGATTCCTTTTCTTCTTGTGTTTAGGCATTGTGTTCCTCTGGTGAAATTTGATGGCAGAACTATAATCTGCTAAAATTGTGCTGACACGCTCCTCAAAGAATGCAGATAAGCGCAAATTCATGCTATAGATCTAAGGAAGGTAGAGCAGAAATTGTTAAAGTGCAGGAAAGCATAAGTTGATTGTGTTATTAATCTGATGCTTCTGCTATAAGACTTTTACACTTTCTTGTAAAATAATTTTCTTGGTGTACATTACATGGCACAGGAAAGCATTTAGAAACATAGGGTTATGCTGCAGCTTCCAGGGTGTTGGACACTGGCAAACCACTACTTTAAGGTCAGCCCATAATAACCCTTACCACACCCAGCAAGCTTCAGATTTGTAGCAAATCAACAGAAGTGGATCATAAGAAGAGGGATGTTTGTCCTGTAATGTACTAAAAAAACAAGATTACAGGCAAGAAAAAATAATTTAAGGTGAACAGAGCCACCTGAAAAATGCTCCGACTGAAGTCAGCAGCAGCAGAAGCCTGAATGTGTATCTTGTAAACATGTGAACCACGTGGATGTGTGAACTAAAGATCAGGTAGCAGCACTGCAAATCAGAAACAGAAGCCTGATGCTGAAAAACGCATGAAGCACAGATTAATCTGGTTGAATGGGCTTTTACAGGGAATGGAAGAACCTTGACCTTGAGGTGGTAAGAAGGAGTAATAAGGTGTCTCGTTCCTCTGGAGATAAAACGAGGGGCAAGCTGCCTCTCATGGGGCCCTGAAGAAAAAGAAAAAAAAATCAAAACCCTGAAAGGGGCTGGGGCTGGGAGGTAGTCTTGAACAGCATGTACTACATCTAAACAATTGAAAGAGATCTCCTTAGGAGGAATTGAAGTGGGACAAAGGTGGAAGAACAATGCCCTGGTTAAGGTGGAGGAAATAAACTACCTTGGGAAGAAATGAGGCCCAAGGCCTTAAAACAACCTTATCTTTGTGAAGAAAAAGGGATCTCTAGAAGTTAAGGCCGCCAACTCCAAGACATGTCTTGCAAAAGTGATGGCAATGAGAAAGGCAACCTTACAAGTATGAGTAGTCAGAGGAATAACCCTAATGGTCACAAAGGGGTTACAGCAGAGCCGACAGAACAAGGTTGAGATCTCACAGAGGGGGTTGACATAAGCAATCCCCTGTAGGAAGCCCTTCTCCAAAAAGCGAGAGGCAAGCGCTTTCCGTAAGAGAACCATCAAGGAGGACTCTTGACCTTTGATTAGAGATGCGCTGAAATTGAATTTTTAGACTGAACCCGAAAATAAAAAATTTGCCGCAAAATGTATTGTTTTACTTTACTGTCGTGCGGCTCTGGGGAAATATCAGGAGTGTAAACAGAACCCTGATATTTCCCTTTTAAAATAGAAAAATAGAATAAGGACACAGAGTCTTAAATCTCTTTTTTTCTGCAGCCCCTGTTATAAATGAACAGGAAGCCTCTACACTGAGTGCACCTATCCATTCATAAACTGAGGAGTATGAGTTACTATGTCCAAAATCATGTATGAACAGGAAGTGATGTTGGGCACTTCCTGTTCATTCATAATTGGTGACACAGTAAGCATACTATGTCCTCAGTTATTTACAAACACTCCGCAAACAGCTGATCGCTGAGTGCTTGTAAGCTGCTCTCCATCCTGACTCCTTCGCCTGTCACAGGAAGCTGAGCTAGGCAGTGTGGGAGGAGAGCTCAGCCTCCTGACAGCAGACCTCCCTGCTCTCCATCCCGACTCTTCACCTGAGCCAAGTGGGGTGGTGCGGGAAGAGAGCCCAGCCTCCAGTGACATATGTCTCTGCCCCAAACCTCCCCCCTCGGCCTTTTGAAACCTTCTCTCCTCACAGTCTGTGCCCCCTCAGATCCCCGTTGCCTCTGCCAACATAGGCAGGGTAAAGCAGCAGGCATCGGAGGGGACACAGACCGGCGCCCAGTGGGGAGGAGAGCAGTTAGGATGCACTGAATTTTCAGCAGTATTTTCGTCCGTTATGCCCAAAGTACAATTTTCGGCCGAAATGTTTAGTCAGCCAAAATGTTTCAGCGGCCAAAATTTCGGTGCATCCCTACCTTTGATGGTACTCAAGGCCAAGCGATGATCCACACCAGACTCTAAAAAAGGATAGGAGTCCTTGATAGGAGCCTTTGATGTACACTCCTGGCTGCTGCGTCAGCACACCTACATAAGCTTGCTTCCTGTTTTGTTGGAATGTCTATCTGAAAACAATAAAAACTTTTGCGGGGAAATAAAAAAAAAAGAAGAAGAAAAAAAAAAGAAGGCTAGGAGTCATTCTACTGAGCACTTCCTAGGATGGAAACTCCTGTCCGTGCACCAAATGAACGACATGCTTCCAAAGCATAGGCATAATGGGCTGCAGAAAGGCCCCTGTCCCTCAGGGCCTCGGCTTTAGCGACCGAGAAGCAGATTGGTAAAACTGGTCATTGAGACTAAAGAGCAGTAAGATCCCAGAGGGCCCACGCATGTCTGCCAGGAGTCTGATGAGGTCGGAGTACCACGTAGTCCTGGGACAGATTGGTGCGTTGAGAAACAGTGGAATGCCTTCCTCCTTAATTCTGTGCACCAGGTGAGGAAGGACGCCATTAATCAAGCTGGACTGATGCTGCTTGAAGGCTTGAAACGAGGTCAGTGTCTGGCACCTCCTACCTGTGACAAAGGTCGTAAAATATCTCAGGGTAGGAAACCACTCTCCAGAGTCCAGAAATTGATGACTGAGG